CCCAAGTATCACTTACTGTACACCACACGCCACACAAGACAGAGCGCAGTTTGTCTTTATGCATAAAGACGCTTTGCCCCGACAAGCGGCACACCACGCAACGCACACACATGGAACACACCACATCACATCACCGATGAATGAATGCATTGTTTCCCCACGACAGACAGACATCACGACCATGATTCAGACCAACGTTCAACGAGCAGCCAGCCGTAGCCATCCATCCAGCAGGGGAACGAAAAGAGGCAAAAGGAAATAGAGAGCGAGCGATAGAGAGGAACGAAGAAGAGCAAACAAAGCCTGCCTGAAAAACAAGCATCGCCGAAACAAAATGCAAAAAAGGCAGCGACCGACCGACCGACCGACCGACGCGCCCACACACGTACACAACAGAGACAGACAGAGAGACAGACGGACGGGCAGACAGGCATGGCAGACAAAAACGAAAAGCGTTGAAAAGCGTTACCATAGCACGACGACACATGACGACACGACACGCCACGAGAGGCCCCTGTACTGAAGTCCTTCCCCCTTTGTCGGTTGTTTGTCTCTGGCTGCCTGGCTGGCTGGCTGGCTCGCCCGCTCGCTTGCCGTTTCAGCATAGGAGGCGCGCCACTCACCCGCACGCACCACCCCACACACGCAGTCAGCAGCCAATGACAAATACGGATGGAAGCAGAGGCCGTACCCGGGTTTCGACACGCACACACATACAGACAGATAGATACCCATAGAACGTCCGACTAGGGCACCAGCCAAGTAAGGCAGGACGCGAGCAGGAGAGAGTCGACAGGCGGGGGGAAGGGTAGTAATTGGGTATAGGTATATCTGGGTATAGGTAGGTACATGTCTGGTCTGGTCGCAGCACCTTCTGCCCCGTACACACGACACGCGCATACAGACATACCATAGAGGCATACATACATATGTGTCTTTGTATTTCCCCCTCTCCTCTCTCTCTCTGTTGCTGTCTTACCCACCCACCCCCCCACCCACCCACTCCCTCGGTCATTGTCTGCCTCTCTGCCCCTGGTACCGTCCCCGCTTACCCAGCCACATTGCTCGCTCCCAATGAGGCGAAAAGATTTCAATACAAGCGCGTGACGTACGTGACCTTATACCGTATAACTGACTGTACAGTACACCCCCACCGACGTCGCTCTTTCCCTCTCTCAGGGACACCACACGACCAGCCGATCAATCAGACAGACAACCATACACGCGATTCCCCTGCCTCTTTTCTCTTGCTCCCGCCATGCCATCATCCACGCGCATAGCACTACAAATGCGAAATCAGTTGCCAATTGGCCGCAGTACCGTACCAAGCCGATCCATGACGGCTGGACAGGCAGGAAGAGATAAAGAGACACCCACACCCCACCACACCCCACCCCACCACATGCACACACACAGGCAGACAGACAGCCATGCCGACTAAACAGACACCATAGAGACCGTCTTGCCCTCCGTCAAGACGCCCAGAGTGCCGGCACTGCCACCCACCCCCACTCCTAGCCCTATCCCCGAGCTCTCACTCACAGGCCCCACATGCGAAAAGGCCGGCGAGGGCGAGAAGGCCGGCGACGGCTCGTTGGGGAGAGTGTCGTTTGACGCGCACGAAGGCGACCCCCGGCGTGACATCTGGTCGGAGCTCTTGGTTGTTGTGTCGCTCAGTGACGACGGCAGCTTCGGCATCCTGTACCCCAGCCGACAGGCAGACGCCGGGCTGCCCCTCGCCGAGCTCTTGAGCTCCGGTGGCACGCTCGGGACGCCCACGTCACACGCGATGTCGTACCCTTCCGTGACGCTCTGCCGCTTCGCCGACACACACACCGACACAGGCAGCCGCCCGTCGTCCACGTGGGCAAACCGCGAGCCGTGCAAAAGGTCGTCCGTCGGCACCTGGCAGAGATCGCACTCCTCCCCCAGGTCGGCGTCCACCGAGGGGGGCTCGGACGGCCGCCTGCTGGGAGTGACGGCGCGGCTGCTCTGGCGGCTCTGTGGGCGGGAGAGGGGCGCGCGGGGAGGGGTGGCGGATGGCGGGATGAGGAGGGCACTCTGCCGCTCGTTGGCGCGGATCTCGCGGTCGCACGCCGAGCAGACGGCCTGCAGACAGGCCTTGCTCTCGCTGGCACGCTGCTGCTGGTCGGGGGCACGACGGCAGGGACATGTGCACTGATCATCCTGACACACACACACACACAGAGAGACAGATGGAGAGACTTCATGGGGGAAACCGTGTGGTGTGGTGTGGTGATGCTCTCTCACCCGTATGATGGCGAGGAATTCCTCGTAGTTGATCATTTCGGATTTCTCTGGAGATGAGTTCCTCCGCTTGAAGAAGTCCAGAGGGCTGATCTGCCGGGGGATGCTGATCTGACGTGTCACCCGGTCAGGTGTCCCCTCACGGCTGCCCGGGCCCTTCTCCCTCTCACCCAACACCCAGCCGTCGCCCACACCCACTCCCACACCTACACCCCCTCTCTCCCCCACCCCCTCTCCCGTGCCTCTCACGATCTTGAGCACCTCAGAAATCTCGTCGCCATTGAACCGGGAGCCCAAGACGCGGCGCAACTCTGTGACGGAGATCTCGCCGCTGTGGCTGCGGTCGAGCTTCTGGAACGCCCTGCGCAGCAGGCCCTCGTGGCTGACGACCCGGGTGTGGAGCATGGCTGCGATCAGCTCGCTGTAGTCGATCTCGAGCTTGCTCCGCTGATCGAGACATCTACAGGCACACAGACAGACGGACAGGAGAGAGAGAGGGGATGGGTGTGTATGGGTTGATGGGATGGGGGATGGGGGCAGGGGGCTGTGTACCTGAAGAGTTCTTCGACTTCGGTGTCTTCGATGGTGAAGTACTCCTGCAACACGGCCGAGAAGTCCTGCAGCGATATGGTGCCTCGGGCACTCTGCAAGAGAGACAAACCGACAGCAAGACAACCCGTGGATGGATGGATGGATGGATGGAGGGGTGGGTCGGTGGGTCGATGGAGTGGCAGCGCTTAGCTTACGCGATCGAAGATTTTGAATATCTGGCTCATCTCGGCGATCTCGTCAGAGGTGAGGGAGTAGGCCACCATCGACAGCACCGCACGCTTCATGTGCGACGCCTGCAGGCAGGGATGGAGAAATGGACACGACCATACCACCAGCACACAGAGCCAACCCATGACAGGCAGGCAGGCCATGGCAGCTAGCTACACACTCACACTCGTATGTATACTTGACGTACCTGTGCGAATGCTCGCATGTTTTGGAGTATCTCGGCATCGATGGGCGACTTGCCACTCTCCGACAGCTCTGTCGAGAGGCTCACCGAAGACGTGTACCGACGAACCCACGGATGATTCAACGCCTGTTAAACAAACGCCACACCCCACACCCATCCACACCTCTCTCTCTCACCCTCTGTCTGTCAGCTCTTACTTACCTCAAAGGCGGTCATTCGGTGTGCGTCGTTCTTTGTGAGCAGCCTGTGGACGAAGTCCTTGGCCTCGCCCGAGATGTTTTCCCACCGCTCACCGTCGTACTTGACGGCGGCGCGGCAGATGGCGATCATGATCTCGTCCCGCGTGCCCTCGAACGGCGGCCGGCCCGACAGCAACATGTACACTATCACCCCCAACGACCACATGTCGGCCGCGTTGCCGTAGCTTTGCCGGCACAACACATCAGGACCTACAGTAGAGAATGAAGAGACAGGGGCGCAGAGCACAGAAAGGTGTTGGGTGTGGTTGGGGGCGTGGTTGGTTGGTTGGCTGCGTACTGATGTAGTGTAATGTGCCGACGACGGCCTCCATGTTTTTGCTCTCCTTCGGGTTCCAGATCTTGGAGAAGCCGAAGTCGATCAGCTTCAGCTCGCTGTCGATGGACGGGTTGGAGTACACCCAGTTCTACAGACAGCCATATATCATATCACCACAACCCAACCAGACAGAACACACACAGCCATCCATCTGTGTCGGTGACGGACGGTGTGTGTGCGTGAGGGCGGGTGGGTGCTTCTCTCTCACCTCCAGCTTGATGTCGCGATGCACGATGTTCTTGCTATGCAGGTAGTGCAGCGCCTGATCACACACAATATATAGCCCCATCCGTCTGTCTCGTGCGCCCCTCCATCTGACGACTCACTCAGCTCACCCACCCTGAGCATCTGTGCGGTGGTCTGTGCGGCCTTGGCCTCGTCATAGGCGTCGAGCAGTGCCAGCCGCGTGTAGAGCTCCTTGCCGCTGCAGTACTCCATGATGACCCACACGTAGTACTGGTCCTCGTAGAGGTCCACGAGCCGGGCGATGTTGGGGTGGTCCAGCTTGAGGTAGATCTGCGCCTCGTTCTTGAGCAGCTCCACCGTCTCGGCCGTCGCCACACACTTGTTGTACGTCTTGACGGCGTACTGACGCCCGTCGATGCGACTCGTCTGCACACACACAGGGAGAGAGAGAGAGAGAGAGACGAAGAGAGACTGATGGTGAGCATCTCGCTGATTCCTCTTTCTTTTGTGTGTGTATGGGTGGGTGTGGTTTGCTTACGGCCAGCCTGACTGGTCCCGAGAAGCCAGTGCCCAGCACCTTGGGCTCGAAGATGTAATCCTTGTACACGCTCCGCCGGGCGATGCGCGACCGCTTGTGCAGCACAAACGACACGCCCGGCGAGGGCACGTCCTGCGTCGCCAGCACGTCGCGCGGCACGCAGATGCCCAGTCGGCTCATACAACTCCCCATTCTCTCCCTCAATCTCACTAAGCGGACGTTAGCGGCTCACACAAGTGACCGATAGCTGCGGCACGGGGGCATGGCGGACGGCGCCGGGTGGGCTCTCAGGCACGCGCAGGAGTGCAAGATCAGCAAGGGCTGGTCAGCAATGGCGGATGGCGGAGGGAGGGGTAGATAGCCGGTTGCCGGATTGGTAGTAGAGATGTCAGGTGAAGACAAGGCGAACACGTTGGCAGGTCAAGACTCTTCTCTTAGGGGTTCTCACGACACGACGAGCGAAGAGCGAAGAGAATTTTGCCTCGCGTTCTCTGGCGCGCTACCCAAACCTCCCCGTGAAACGCTCCCCTGGGCAGGGCGTGGGCAGAGTGAGAGCGGCGCGGGCGTCGGTTGTTGCACCAGCAGCTTCTGCTGTGCTGATTTTGTTGAGGTCCGAGTAGCCTCGTTTGGTTCCCCGTCTGCCCTTCCCTTCGGGTGAGGGAGAGCAGATGCTCACGATGCTTGCTTCCAAGACCACCATGCTCAACGGCCTCAAGACGGCCGTCCCCCTCGTGGCGCCTCCCTGCTCACACCGCGTGTTCGCCACCTCCCGGCGCGACTTCTACGACGTCCTCGGGGTGCCCCGCAGTGCGTCCGAGAACGACATCAAGAAGGCCTACCGGAAGCTGGCACTCAAGTGGCATCCCGACCGGAACCCCGACAACCGCGCCGAGGCCGAGAAGAACTTCAGGGAGATCTCCGACGCCTACTCGACGCTCTCGGACAAGGCGTCACGCGCCAACTACGACGCCACCAATGGCTACGGCTACTCCGGTGGGCCGTCATCAGGCGGCTACGGCTCGCCCTTCGGCGGTTTTCCCGGCGGTTTTGCTGGCGGGCGGCCGGGGGGTGTCCACCATCACGACGTCAATCCTGAGGATCTCTTCCGGAGCATGTTTGGCGGCATGGGTCTGGAGCAGGTCCTGAAGTCGAGCAACTTCGCCACTCTGAGCGAGAAGGACCTCGAGAACCTCATGCGCATGGCGAGTATGCAGCACGCCGCGCAGACGAGAGGCGGTGGCGCCCCTGGTGGTGGTGGCAGCGGAGGCAGTGGCAGTGGGGCGTCATATCAGCCGCCGATGAACGGCTCGGGCTTCATGAACAACTTCGGTCCCAACACGCCGCGTGCAGTGACGATGCAGCAGATCTTCGAGAAGAACGGCCGTCTCGTGAAGCGGACGACGACCACGTTCCACCGGCCTGACGGCAAGCAGGAGCAGCAGGTGGCCGAGGAGGACCTCGGTCCCTCCGTCAGCCAGATGGGGGGTCAGGGAGGAGGCAGCAGTGACGGCAACAAGGGCGGCCAGGGCGCCATGGGCGGTTTCAACCCGGGCGGCTTCTTCGGTATGCCGCCGTTTGGGGGTGGCTTTAGGACTGCATCGACAGCAACAGCAGCAGCAGCATCAGCAGCATCGGGAGGCGACACCGGGGCGGAGGCGAAGGGCGAGACGTCGTCCACACCATACAAGACGGACGTGAGGGACGCGGTGCCGCATAGCTCACTCGGAGAGGTTGGTGCGTGGGGCGGGGCGGGTGACGTGACACAAAGGACGCACACACATATGGCATGCGTGGGAGGATCCCTCTGTGTGTTCTCTGTTGTGTTGTTTTGCTTGACAAACGTTCAGATGTTGCTCAAGTTGGCTGCCATCGGTCGGCTGTCGGGGTTGTCTTTTCGCAAGAGCATGGCGGAGGGTCCCATGATGCCGCACCCTTCCATCCACGGCCATGCGCGAGCCGCTTCCACCTCACGAAGGCCACGCCTCTCATGACATGACGATATAGCCGGCTGACCTGACCTCGGTGGGTGGCATTTTTGGTTCGGTCGGTGTGGGAGGGCGTCCGTCTGCCAGGCTGCCTTGCCTTGGCTGTGTTTGATGGTTGGCTAAGGGCACTGCGGCAGTTTTCTGTGCGTGTGTGTGTGTGTCGCTCTCTCCCCCTCTGTCTCTGCCTCTCTGCCTCTCCCTCTCGCCTTTGCTCGCCTCGCTGCCTGCCTGCCCGCAGTGATGCGTGTGTGGTGTGCATGAGCGCCCGCGCCCCCCACCCTCTCATCTGTCCCTTCCTCCCATCGCACATATGACCACATACACACGGACATTCTGATATTTTGACGCTTGTGCCAGGGAGGGCGGGTGCGACACTCATCAAAGTCGCCAGTCAGTGTAGTGTCACATGAGTGCTCCATGGTATGGTAGCTACAGGAGCAGAGCAGTTCGTTTGTCTGTTTGCCTGTGTCTGGTGGGTGTGTCCTCCCCCGCCAGCACACGCCGTCTTGTGTGTCGGTTCGTTCCGTCCCGCAGACTTCGTGTGTGGGTGGGGGGCGGAGGACACCCGAAGGACACAGACGAGAGAGAGAATGGCCGACACTATATACCTGCCAGCCATCCAGCCATCCATCCCCCATACATACGTGTCTCATTTGTGGCATTCCACGTGCCTCTCTGTACGAAGCCTCAGCACTGGACGGTGATCGCTCGGTGCAGGGGCTCCGTACACAGACCCTGGCAGAAGGGGGCAAATGTGCGAGAGAGAGGTGCCTTGCGGCGGGCGCGGCGCTTTCATTGCCGCCGTGCGTGTGAAAGACATGGCCATGTCTATCGGTGTGGCGGTGTGTGTTGTGTTGTGTGTGTGATGGACTGACTGATGGGGTGTAGTGCCGGACTCACAGTGGCTGCATATGCCTGCACATGTGGTGTAGATTAGTACCCTGAATCGATCCATATCGACACCTGTCAGTGGTTGGTTGATGCGCATTCCATATTCCATCGTATCGTATCTGAGTCGAGAGCGTCCCCGCCCGCATGGCTACCGATTGAAATCTTAAGAAAAGGTCAAAACGGCCGCCCCATTCCCCCGCTCCCCCCCTCTCTCTCTCGCTATCCCCTGGGCCCCTCCCTCCTTCTACATGCCCCCACCCAGCGGCAGGTGCCCATTTGGTTGGAAGAAGCGAAATAGCATATCATTCATAGATAGCATGGTTGGTATTGCTACCCCTACCCCTGCCCCAGCCTCCAACCATCCATGTAGATGTGATGTCATGTGGTGTGTATGGGTGTCTGTCGATAGATAGCTACGATAGGTTGTGTGTGTTGCTGCCCCGCGGCACGGGCGGCTGGGGGGAGCTGTCCGCAGGGGGCGCCGGGGCCGCACCTAAACACACAACACAACACAGACACACACACACACACACAGCACATACATCCCCCTCTGCTCCGTGTGCGTCTCTCATACTCGGCTGCTCCTCATCGTCTAGGTCTTGGTCTTGCTCGTTGTCCGTCTGGCCCAGCTGTGCTCCGCCCCTGCCGCCGCCCTGCATGGCCGCGCGCGACTTTGCGAGGACGTCCTTGAGGCTGGCTACGAAACCCTCCACCATCGACAAGACGTTCTCGTGCGTCTGCATGGACCATGCCAAGGCATCCGGATGGAGGGAGGGAGGGTGTGTGTGTGTGGGGCGGCCGGCGTATGTACCACAGTATTGGTGAATTCCTCGATGGTGTGTTCGATGCTGCTCTGCAGCTGGATCAGCAGGGCAGGGTCGATCAGAGTCAGACTCTCACACTCCTCTGCAGTCAGTGCAACAAACACACAGGCAGACAGACAGCCACACACACAGTCGCCTGTGTCTCTCTCGTGTCGCCTTCCTTCCTCCCGTCTCTCTCTCTTTCTCTGTGTGTGTGTGTGTGTCTGACCTTTGGTGGAAGCGAGTGCAGCGAGGCACACGGCCATCTCGTGCTGGGACTTCTTCAGCGCCTCCTGCAGCTCCCTCTCCTTCTCGCTAATGTCCTCCTCCTCGTTATCGCCCTCCTCACCTTCACCACCCTCACCGCCCTCACCGCCCTCACCGCCCTGCTCCTTGACCAGCTGCACTGCACTAGCCTCACGCTCCTGTTGGATGGAAGGATTGATGTGTGTGTGTGTTGTGTGTGTGTTGGGGAGGGGGGGGGGTGGACCTTAGTGTACTCCAGACATTCCCGCAGGCGCATCATGCCCCGCTCCAACTCGCCAAACCGCCCAGCCATATGGCCCATACCCACCACACCCCTGCCACCACCACCACCGGCGGCAGCAGCTGCCGCTGCAGCCGCCATAAGCCGTCCGCCTCTGGGAGGGTCGCCGAGTGGTGTGGCGAAGTATGGCGTGTCGCTGGGGGGCTCCTCCTCGGGCCCGGCAGTCGACAGCAGCTGCTGCTGCTTCGCCACCTCACGACGAAAATACTCGGTCTCTAGGCTGAGCCATGACGTAGGAGAGAGGGGAGGGGTTTGTTGGGAGGGAGGGGGGATGGGGGGTGGGTGAGGAAGGTTTGGTACCTTTTCTCGTGTAGCTGTTGAGTGAGTGTCTTGTGCTGGTTCTTGGCTTCTTCTATCTCGTGGCGCAGACGGCGCTCCTTGGCGGCCCAGGCATCCTCTGACACACACGCACACACACACAGGGGGGAGAGAGAGAGAGGGGTAGAGAGAGAGGTGCAGCTCGTAGGTGTGTGGTGTGTCCATGTATGTGTTCGTGTGGTGGGGTGGATCTGCGCACCCTTGTCCTTGAACTCTGCCAGCATGTGCTCCTTCATGCCCTCCTCGGCCTCAGTCTGACACACACACACATACACACACACACAACACACAACACACACAGATAGATGAAGAGGGCAGGGAGGCGTAGGTGTGTTGTGTGTGTGTGTGTGTGTGTGTGTACTTTGAGTGATCGTTTCTCGCGGATCAGCTGGTCGTTGCGGAGCTCCAACTGCTTCAAACGCTGCAAACACACACACACATGGATGGATGGATGGATAGATGGATGCCCCCAACCTTGCTCTGCTCATCGATGTCGCGGCGGCTCTTCTCGAGGGCCTTTCATCACACAGAAACACACACAGAGACAGAGAGAGACCACACATCCCTCCGTCTCTCTCTCTCCCTCTCTACGACGATTTGACCTACCCGGTCTTTCTTGAAGCACTCCTCTCTGAACTGGTTGAGCTGTTCAGTGGCCTTCTCGAGGTCCGTGTTGAGGTTGGTCTCCAGGGCCGGCTCGTCGCCCAGGTCATGCTCCCCACGGCCACGTCGGGCCTTGAGCTGCTTGAGCTGGGCCTGCAGCATGGCCACCTGCTGGTCACTGCACACGAGAGGGAGAGAGGGGGAGACAGAGGGGGGTTGTGGTGTGGTGTGTTGGCTGTGGGTGTGGGTG